GACACCGGGCCGACCCCGTACACGACCGACCTGAACCCAAAAGAAACGCGAAAACCGGACAGACGCTCCCACCAGGTCAAGACAAAAGGCTAAAGGCTAACAAAGGCTACATGGAGCCCACGCTGCACCTGGCTGACAGGGGCGAGGCCACCGTCAGGGCGCGCGCACGGAGTCTGGAGCGGAGAGAGCGCGCCCCAGGCAAACAGCCGTATTTATAAAATACATTTATAAAAACAAACCATGAACAAAAACCATTAAAAAAATCACAACTTACTACAAAAGGAAACAAAAACAACTAATAATCCGAATGAATGCGCCTGCGCGTAATGGCCGCATCTCTGCGCCTGTAGCAGAACCAGAAAATGTAAAACTAATATTTTATTATTAGCCGTGGTTTTTGGTGATGACGTCACAATGATGTCAAACGCCAATGTCCCGCGCACGAAAACGAAATAGGAAGTGACGGACAGGTGCTGTTTGCCAGTGGGGCGTGAGGACGGGAGGTGGATCCTGGGGAAAGGGAGATGAAGATAAAGTTATGGATGTGAATGATTTGGCAGCGGCTTGTGTGCGCCCGAGGTACTGCGGTGGTGAGCGGACGGAAAATATGTAGCGGGGACCGGAGCGGAGCAACAGCGCGAGGCACCGGCGCGGGATGAATGAACGCAGGTAGGCAGCTCGCGCGGACTTGTTCGGGCGTGTTTAGGTAAGCACGCGCTCTGACGCAGCGACTCCGTTACAACTAGACAGTTCACAAAAACCACGGAAGAGCAAATCCGGGCACCAACGAATCAACGAAGAGCCAGACATTCTGTGTTGTCTGCTGGAGGTCCCCTGGTCCCGGTGCAAACAGCGAGGTGATCGTTCTTCTGCAGCGGCCGGTCCAAAACTCTGGAACTCTTTGCCCATTGAGTTATGGTCCATCCCCGACCTGCCTCTGTTCAAAGCCAAAATAAAACCTACTTATTTAGAACAACTTTTAACACTTAGGCTGCGTTCAGACTGCAGCCTGAAGTGACCCAAATCCAATTTTTTGTCTCTATGTTCCTGTATCTGATCTTTTAATGTCAGTCTGAACACACACTGATTTTTTTCAAATGTGACCCAGGACACTTGGATCTGTGCTCCTGAAACCGATACATATCTGATCTTTTGACATGTGACTTCAGTGTGAACGGTCAGGTCACATTCATCCACCTACACGTTATCAACAAGACACAAACGTCACTATTCTGCGCTGAAGTAGGAGAAAATTGTTAATGATCCATGTGACTGAAGTGAAGCACATCTCCACTCACCACAAAACACCACGACCAAAAACCTGGTCCTTCTCCTTCTCAATCTCCTCCTTAAAACAAGTCAGTTGTTCATGTTGTGGCTCCGGTACGAGAGGAACTTTAAAATCTCCAGGTGCTCGATGCTGCGTCCATGTTTGGACAACTTGTGTAAACACAGAGACGCTCGCTGCGGTTGACGTCGTCGTGTCTCCAGTGTCACATGTGGGACACTTTTGGACCATTTAATGTTCACACTGGAGTCACATACAAGTCACATTTAACTGGAAATGTGAACGACCTCGAAAAAACATCAGATTTCACAAAACAAATCCAAATTGAGCGTTAAGCCCTGCAGTCTGAAGGTAGACTTATGCCGGTCGTACACTGTGCGATATTTTCGGTCGTGTCACTCAGCCCCAGCTTAAACTGTACGACCAAATCACAGGGTTTAAAAGTTCACAGCTCACGAATCCTGTTCTCACACTGAACGAACCGATGCTCGGATGCGACTTGCCTGCTCACACTGTACGTTCACATAACGACCGGAGTTGTCAAAGTTGTTGTTCCGGAAGTAGAAAACCACAGATGTGCGGAGACACAATGCTGAGCCGCTTCTGCGTCCGCACATGCTCAGTCTGCCAGATTCTGGCAAATCGGCTCGTGGAACAACTTCAACAGAGCGAAATCCTCACGAGAGGCGACTGGGTTTCAAACAAGTTTGATTTTCTTGTGACCTACGAATGTCGATCGGGAGCTGGTCGTGAGTCATTAATCGGTTCTTTACCCCATGTAAACTACACGAAGCACGACACACGATGAAGCCAAAACTCGGCCCGATCCCCAAAACAGTCGCACGAGCGAAAAATCGGCTCAAAAAGGGTCAAAAATCGCACAGTGTACGACCGGCCTTAGTGACCCTGTGACACTTTCTTTATTTTAATGGTGTAATGTGCTTTGTTGACCCGTTTGTATGATGTTTATTGATTTTTATCTTGTTTTAATGTTGTGCGGCACTTGGTCGGCTTAGGTTGTTGGAAGGTGCTATAGAAATAAAGTTTGATTGATTGATTGTCAGTGATTCCTGAGATTGAGGATTTAAAGCCGGAACAAAGAGAATGTTTGGTGAATTTTATCAAGGGGACAGACGTTATTGTTCTTCTTCCTACGGGATTTGGGAAAAGCTTAATCTACCAAACAGCAGCGATTGGTTAAATGATAAAAAA